CGACCGTGGTGGCCGTGGTCCTGATTCTGAATCTGCTGGTCCCAGACCTCCTTACGAAGCAGAGTTCTTCCCTTAGTGTTTCTTATTAGGCATCCGAAAGCTTATTTTAAAAAACCGAAACATTTTTTAGTATTATCTTTTAATAAAAAAAGTCATAAAGGCCTAGTTATTGTAAGTAAAATTAGGAAAACATATTTAAATTGTAGCTTGTCTTCTAAATAAACAAGTACTTAAAAGACAGATTCTCAGTCTCTAGGGGGTTGAAGAAAAACAGCATTCAGAAATACTTTTTCACTTTTTTCTTTAGCGGACAAGTTTGCTCATTGTCGTTTGATGATCCGGCCTCAACCTCTCGCCCACCTTTCTTCCCCACTGTTGGCAGGACTGTACCACCGCACTGTTTAAGGAAAGTCCGGATAGTTCACTGCGGTTTCTCAGCTCAGCGCATGGGTCTGGGCTACGGAGAGCGTCTCCACCAGGAGGATGGAGCGTGTCTTTCTGTTTGGATTTAAGCACTGGCGATGAATTCTAGTAAGCAGGAAGCTGGCCACAGCGCATTCTCGCAATAACCCAGTTTTCTCCGTTGGGAGAAGACTTCTGGCCCACGGGGCCGAGGAGCTACACAGCCCTGTGCCCTCCCTGTTCACCAAGGTGATGGTGAGGTGGTCCCCCAGCTGCTTGCTGAAGCGAGTGACGGAGGCCCGTGCTGCCTTGGGTGCTGCTCTGAGCCCTGGGGCAGGCATGTGCAGACCAAGGGTGGGCAGCCGGTGGCCCCTTCTCTCCAGATGGGGGACTTGCCAGCCGGGCCCATCGCAGTTCGTTTCTGTCACCAACGGTGTTTAAAAGGCGAGGAAGGGGCTGGCACCGTGCACAGTGCAGCGGAGGGAGGGAGGGTCCCATGTGGCTGGCCAGGGCTTGGGTCCCGGTGCTGCTGGCTTCCTACTGGGGGGTGGAGAGCTGGAACTGCAGCGTTACCAGGCCCTGTGTGGGGACGTGAGGGACGCGGGGAAGAGACTGTGGTATGATCATGCACCACCGGGCGTGTTTTTCTCCTTCTCAGTCTCTCTGTTTCACTCTCTGGAGAGTGCATGCACCCTCTGGCAATAAAAAAAAAATTGTTTATTAGAAAGACAGTATCATGACAAAAATATTAAGTTAAAAAGTTATCTTACTACTCCTAGAATGACTCATTTCATTTGGATGAATGTCTTCCCACTCTTTGTCTCTATCAGTTCCTGTCTAATCCTCTTGTAATAAAGACCAGGTATGAAGCACTGTCCATGTTGCTGTGAACCACGATTTGTAATCCTGGTTCTAAATGGCTTTTCAACACTCTACCAGGTAGGGGCGGACCCATGCTTGCCATCACTGTGGCTTCTTGTTGGACAGCTAGGCCGGTGTCTGCAGGGCCTGACTGCAATGGATTCCATGACGTTGTGATGACACAGAGGGCCGAGGACATGCTTTTATTGCTTGCTTGATGTTTTTAAGATTGAGAGGAAGAGAGGAGGAGAGAGGGAGGAAAGAAGGAAAGAGAAGGAGGGAGGGAGGAGGAGCGGGGCAGAGAAAGAGAGAGAGAGGTATTTTTTCCCCCTTTGGAGAGATTTTCGCTATAGGGTGCGTGCACTCGCCGGACAGAGAGAGAAAGACAGAGAGACAGAAAGCGAGAAATCACCCCCCAGGGGGGATGGTCACGCCGCAATCCCTTCTCCTCCATTCTCCTCTTGGGATCTTGGGCATGCACACACATGCGCCCGGTGTGAGTTTTAAGCCACCGGGTTTGGGACGCAAACTGCTGTCGACTACGTGGGAGTCCAGCGACATAGCCATTACGCTAACTGCTGGTTCCCGAGAGGTATTTTTGACAGGGTCATGCCATGGTGATGCTCTGCCCCGGCCTCCCAGTTAGCTAGGGTCACAGATGCATTCTGCCACACCTGACCTATCCGGGTTGGTCTGGGAATTGAACCCTGGTCTCTCCTGCGGGCCCAGCCCCGCACTGGTGCACATGCTCAGACCACCATAGCTGGGCTGACCACAAGCACTCTGAGCACTTCGTGCCCTGCACCTGCAGCTCAGAGAGGCACAGAGTCTTCATTTACAGTCACACACTCCAACCGTCCCCCGATGACGAGTGACTGCCAACTGCAGGCTCCTAGAAGATGTTGGGGGAAAACCAACCAAGGTACTTAATCATCTGTCACGGTAAAGGTGACACTTTAATAAAGGAGGGGAGCATTTGCTTTCTGAGAAATACATACTGTGGAGAGAACATTCGGAAAACAGATGTTCCCGTTGTCTCCATCATTGTGTGCTTTCTGTTGCCCAAAACAATGTGTGGCCCACTGCAAACTCTACTCGCTGCACCTTTAACCTGGAACCGGTGTTTTTCTAGTCTGTTCTAAAGTCCTTTCAGTGAATGTTTCTGTGAATTCTGAGCGGGGCTGGAAATACGAGCGTACTGCGCTACCTCCCGACTAACTAACTGCAGGGGCCATCATTGGACAGTACCGGAATGGAGTTTTACTAGCAAAACGTTCACAAACTTTCTTTTTCCCTTTCTTTCTTCTTTTTTTTAATGCCAGAAGCTCTGTGTGTGCGCGTGTATGTGTGCACACGTGTGTGTGCGTGGAGTGGGGGCAGGTAGAGCATACGCGAGCAGCCCCCAGTAGGGCCTGATCATGCCATAATCCTTTTCCTTCCAGGTCTCCGTGCCCTCGGGATCCTGGGTCCTTATGTGCACTTGGCATGTTTTTGGCGTAGCTCGGACTAGGTCTTGAATCTTGGACGGCCGTATAGGTACAGCTTCTCTGCACAGTGCTTAACAGCTGTGCCATGGGGCCAGCCCGTCCAAGTCCTCTGCATCATCAGTGAATGGAAGCAGAACGCCTTCCATGTGCCAGTGTGAACGTCCTTCATTCGGGCCCACACATCTCTGGGAGAGCCTTTCTGGTCTCTGATAGAGTTCAGCAGATAAAACGAACCTCCAGCCAGACTGCTTTCAAATCACAGGATCACAAATGCTATCTAGATCTAAAAAAATGAAAATAAATAAACAAAAAAAAGGCACATTCAATGCAGTTTGCGAATGCTCCTTTGTTGTTAGAGGGTGCATGTGCCTACGAGAGAGAGAGCGAAAGCACTCGCCGATGGGCACAGGCGTGCTGCTGTCTTCTCCATTTCCCCACCCTCTTAGGACTTTGGGCACACATGCAGACGCACCCAGTGTGTTTGTCAAGCTGCCACGGCTGAGGCTTGAACTGCAGTCGGCCATGCTGAATCTAGCTCCCCTAACACTAGGCTATGGGCCCAACCCCTGCTGATACTCTTTAAATACGACATATTAAAATGTATTTTAAGGGGACCAGCAGGTGGCATGGTGGTTGAGGCACTGACACTAACACCAACCATAGTTCAGGTCCTGGACTTGGTGGCTTGCTTTCTCACTTTCTCTCTCTCTCTCTGTGCGTGTGTGTGTGTGTCTGGTCAAATTAAAATAAATGAATGAATAAAATTAAATAAATAATTATTTAAAAAATATAAATAAAATGTATTTTAAAAGACTTTTTTTATCCTTGTCAAAGATGTCCCACTCTGGGTATTTTTACCCACAGCGTGTTGGCACGTAGCACATTCTGAGGCCCACCATGGACATCCACGTGTTGGCCGTATGTGCTGAGAGTTTTTCACTGGTCAGCGTGCTCTCAGGGAGTTTGGAGATGACGGTCAGGGCAGAGGGACCTGCATAGCCAGCTGCAGCCCTCACTAGCACCATTTCCTGACTCCTTTCCTCGGCTGGCGAGCTGGTGGGGCGCTTCCCTCTGTGTGGGGCACGAACACAGCAGGGCACTTTCAGGACAGCCTTCTGAGCCAAAGGAGCAAACCTGCTTCCTGGGCCCCTGTAAGAGAAACCACGTTTGAGACCTTGGTGTCTCCTTGGTCTCCTTCCTGGCCACTAGCTGCTCACGGCCTCAGTCCAGTGCGAGTTTCTATGGACCAGAGGCGGTCAAGGTTTCCCTCCAAGCCGTGTCCCTGACCGCAGCCTCCTCCACGTTTGGTGTCCGGACGTGGGTACCATGCCCCGCCTGTGAGCTCAGGCCCTGGGGACACCCACAGGCAGGCCAGCACTCGCTCCGCACGCCCCAAGGCCAGTCCTGCTTCTCAGAGCTGTTTCAGGATGTTAGTGTGAGCAGATGAGGTGACCATTGTTGCTCTGGGACATGAGGTGGCCCAGGAAGGGAGGGCTGACCTGCCCCAGCCTGACCTGTTCCACGTGATGGCGTCTCTGCGGTCCATGCAACTTACCTCTAAAAGGTGGTAGTGAGGAAGAAGACCTTTTTGTGCACACAAGTACACCATGCGCCGAGTGCTTGGCAACAGCTTTATGACAGATAGGGACATTACTGTACTGAGTCCTGCAGAGCCACTGGGACCCCTGTGGTCCACACCCCTACCAGGCTGTGGCTCGGGCTGCTGGGGTGGCCTCGTTTATCACCCAGTGTTTCAGGCCACCCCATCTGGCAGGCTCTGTAGCAAACCATTCATCTGTTACGATGGGGTGTGTTACGATGGGGCGTGGCTGAAAGCTGATCCCGAAAAAGTCACTGTGGAGCAATCCTACTGTTGGCTTTTAGACCCTAGGCAGATAACCTGCTGTGTAGCCGTGTGGCCTTGGGCATGTCACTTCATCTCCTGCCTCGAGCCGCAAAGTGGGCCTTGGGCACGCGGGTGCTTGCAGAGCCCATGAAAGGCACTGTTTGTGGACCCAGCCACCTGTGAGCTCCCGGAGTGGACTGAGTTCAGCTAGAACAGGGTACGGCTGGCCTGAGGATGATGGGGTCCCCCCCCTGCCACTGCGCCTTCCAGCAAGTCCCCATGGGGCACCTGGGCACCAGTGAGCCGTGTTTGCCCACGGGTCCAGACCGGAGGCGTTGTGGTTTTAAGATACTGACTCTGCGATCCAAGCATTGTCTAACCCTTCCTTCTCTTTTGCATTGTAGGAACCCAGCTATTTAGTGGCCAAAGTGGCTTTAGAATCACTACCTTGAAATTTCATCCGAAAGACCACAGCGTTTTTTTATGTGGAGGCTTCAGCAACGAAATGAAAGCTTGGGATATAAGGACCGGCAAGGTAACCCCCCTTCCTGGAGTGGCCTTTTCTCAACCGTGGGGATGACTGGGGCAGGCCGGCTTCTCTGTAGGGCCCTGGAAGAGCAGAGGTTACTACTTAACAGTGAATCAGAGCTACGTGTGATTTCTAGATGTTGCTGTTAAACGCCGCAGTGCAGTTCTCTGCATCAGGTGTGATTTCTAGATGTTGCTGTTAAACATCGCAGCGCACTTCTCTGCTTCAGGTGTGATTTCTAGATGTTGCTGTTAAACGTCGCAGTGCACTTTTCTGCATCAGCTGTGATTTCTAGATGTTGCTGTTAAACGCTGCAGTGCAGTTCTCTGTATCAGGTGCGATTTCTAGATGTTGCTGTTAAACGTCGCAGTGCAGTTCTCTGCATCAGGTGCGATTTCTAGATGTTGCTGTTAAACGTCGCAGTGCAGTTCTCTGCATCAGGTGCGATTTCTAGATGTTGCTGTTAAACGTCGCAGTGCAGTTCTCTGCTTCAGGTGCGATTTCTAGATGTTGCTGTTAAACGTCGCAGTGCAGTTCTCTGCATCAGGTGTGATTTCTAGATGTTGCTGTTAAACGCCGCAGTGCAGTTCTCTGCATCAGACTTTAAAACGTTTGTTGAAAGCCTACCGTGTTCACATGCTTGCCGGCCGTATGTGGGTCACTGGGAAAGTCATGACGTGTTTTTCTGTTTTTCTGTACAAAAACGTGTCGTGACTTTTCCAGTGACCCAATAAAATGAATCAGCCTTGGGTAGTTCAGGGATGAACCAATGGATAGAGATAACTCTGTTCAGAAAAGTGCTGCGTGCGGGAGCGTGCGAGGAAGGGACGGGCTGGCGTTCAGAGGGGCGAGTGCTCTCACCTGCTGTGGGCGTCTTGGCGGAGTCTCTGCCAGCCTGACGTCCACTCTCCCCTTCACCACGGCCTGCCGCTCCTATGCCGGCCCTCCT